AATATAATTTTTAAATTTCTTAATAACAAAATAACGTATCTTGTTTGAAGAAGTGAAATACATTAATTTAAAACAAAAATGTTTTTTCTGATAAAGTTTGTCGATTTGATCAATATTTTGCTGTATAGTAAGTTTCATTACATTTATTAACCTTCCAGCACTTGCACTTGGCAATTCTACATGAGCACGCACACGTCATAATTCTTTACATCTGTTATTTTGCTGTTTTTGGCATGAAAAACAACAGAAATGGGTGAATATTGATAATAAATTTGTTAAGAAATGAAATATTCACTTTATTATTGCAAAATAAAAATTGTGTCACATTCAAATGAAAGTAAATTATTTTTAAATACTTATATTAGTCAGGTGGAAAGGCAATGATGTATTTCATTATCGAAAATTTAAAATTTATTCTTTAATAACTACATGAGCACACACGTGTTTTAAAATCCGAGCTAGTTTTAATATTCGTCTGTCCTGCGTTGTTAATTTACCATCGAATCGAAGACGACTTGTGAGAAATAAAAATCTCTCTTAGCTCATCACAGCTCTTGTTATTTCAGTTCCAGTCACTTGAGAACAATTCTTTTACATTTACATGCTGTCCTTTTTTTTTTTTTTTTTTTTTTTATATTTCTATCATATATAATAATTCAAAGTATGCCATCATTTCCACTCTTGAAAACATTCATTCTCTGTCTCATTCATTTCCACATTCAGTCTCTGTCTCTTGAGTATTTGCCTTTTAGCAAACTTATATATTTATTTGTACATTCCAAAATTTCATCAAGCATATTTATATCAATTATTTTAAAAAATGATCCTATTTCATCATCTGTATCCTTGCCATGGTGTTTTAGGCCTGGTAATACTTTCACAATATTCATCTTATTCGACTTTAAGCAATTTGCACATACTTCTATTTTCACTACTAAGAAAATTTTTCCTTACATAGAAGATATTATCATTATTATCCAAAATTTATTGTTCAGATTCACTGCTGTTATTATTTATCTCAATATTTTCCTCACTAAAGTCGTTATTGTTGTCACATCCAAAGATTTCCCTCTTCTTTCTTTTCTTCATAAGATAATTCTCGAAGAATGCGAGCAGAATCGGCTGGCCATGAAGCTGTCTTCACCATTATAGCCTGAATGCCGTGTTGCTGATTGTTTCGCCGTGCTTGTCATTAGTTTTTTTGCCGACTGTAAACGTGTTTTTAGAACTGTCCTGAGTAATATTGGCAAATAAATTATGTTTTGACACTTCATTAAGTGTTGTCACCAATCACTTCAAATCCATGAACCCGTAGAACAATATTGAAATGAAATTTCCTTATTTTTATGTTATTATTTAAATAATTAATGTAGCTGTTTAAAACTTTAATAGTGTAATTATATTCCCTTAATCTCTAAAGTAAGAAATACTTTTGCATGGTTGGTTTTCTTAATCTATTTAATTTGAATACAAGCCAGTAGTTCCCTTAAAAAGTTTTCCACAGAGGCATCTCTTCTTTTAGATAGGTACTCATTGTGTGTTTTGCCATATTCAAATAACCTAACCTAAACTAAGAAACATTTTTCTCTAACTAAATCTCTTAATCAGGCAGTTGGGTTACTTGAACAACAGAGATGTGATGTAATTTATGGAAAGAAAAGATCTAATGCAGTAAAAGTTTACCTAAAGGAAACGTGCAAAGAAGTTCAGCATTTTAAGGTAATATGCCAAATGTAAAATTGTAATAATTTAAAATCTTTGTATAACTAGACCCTGGTTATGGAAATATGGCATCATTTGTGATGTGATGCAAAGTATCAAAAATCAGTTGTCAATTTCATAGCTTTTATTGTTATGAATTTAGTATTACTGATATCATTCATATCAATATACAATAAACAGAACTTAGCTGAAAATTTAGCTGTGAAGATCCAGGTAACAGAAGGAAAACAACTTTTAACACATTGACTGCCAACTACATGATAACTAGTATATTGCATTCTTTTCTAGGACGCTAACTACAAGTTATCTCGTACTGTGTTTACTTGCCATTTTTGTGCAGCTACAATGAAACTCGGAGTGTTAATATCGATAAATGGCTTCTGGGGAAAGAACAAAAAACCAGTGCTGCCTTGCATAAACAGAAAATTTATTAAAAAATGAACAAAAAATATAATTATAAAAATTAATAACATAATATGATTAAATCAATTTGGCTTCTTGGACCGGAATCCGAAAAGTGCGATGGCAGTCAATAAGCTTGTTTAAAAATAAAAAAAAAGCTTTTGAAAATTTTCAAGATACAAAAATGCTATGTTTGGTCAGTCTCCCTTGGTAACCCTAGATATAGTAAAATGTGGATGCATTCATCACAGAATATAGTTCTATTATTTCTTAGTATCCCATTAAGCAGAAACATGCTATAAGCTATCACTATTTTTAATAAAAACAAAATAACTAAAATCCCAAAGCTGTTATCATAAAAAATAATTTTTTTCAAAGGTTTATTGAAACATTTAACAATGAATTGGGAAGAGGCAAACTCAAAGTACAGGAATATCTTCATTAAAGAAGAATTACGTAAGAAAGCTGAGGATGGGGGAGACTGAGAAATTTCTTGTAGTCCTATTAAATGTTTGCTGTGGTGTTATATCATGGTCGGAAATTTCATTTGATAAAAATGCAGTTTTGAGAAAACCTTTAACATCGCAACTAAGTATGGTATATAGAAAAAAACTTTAAAAAAATTATAAATATAAAAAAGTAACTTATCAACTTGTTAAGCTTGAAAATGAAAATGTAGCTTTTTTTTGCATTTTTGTCTTCTATAGTTGCAGTAATCAAGTAAGTGGCACTTCATCTAAATTTATTTATAAAATTATTATGATTTATTAAAAATGAAATGAGACCATGTTTTTTTTTTTTTTTTCAATGCTCATTTTTGTGTTTAATGCTCATCAGAAATGTGTGGTGAGCAGCATGGATGAATGCTGCAATATCCAATAACAGCATCCTTGTATCAGTATATTTAGTGATATCAGCATTAAAGAAGTAGAAGTACATAAGTTATATATGTACACTGTGCAAAAAAAAAGGGGGGACAGTTCTGTCTCCCGTTCTATTGGGACAATTGACGAAAGTCAAATTGCATTTTTCATGTCTCGAAGGCTCAACGTTGGATATATGTTAGATTTATATATAACATCATTCTAACATAAGTATTTTGACACAAATGTCATGCCAATTTTTTCACATTCTATGACATTCATTCGATTCTACAACTCAAATTGTGCCTTAATATTAAATTTTTTTAATTTGGTGTGAAATTTACAGAGAAATTCAAAAATCTTGGCATATTTTTTTAATTTTTGCCAAGAATTTACTGGGCAAGCTACTTAATTTATAGCAACCAATTTTCTTTTCGTCATTGTAGCTGAGTGGGAAAAAGTCATCATTCATACTTTCAAATAATGTTAACAAAGTGTATTATCGTTTGGCGTTGTTATCGCTCCAAAAAAATATGCCAAATTTCGAAAACGCTCCAGTATGTAAATTCATGTGTATCTTACAAAAATTTGAATAAAAAAATTCTAATAATAATTTTTTGCAGGTGTGCCTAGAAATACATCTACTTTAAAATGAAGTTAAAAATTTTATAGGTTATAATACAAAATGTTTTTTGAAAAATATTTAAAAATACAAATTTTTAAAATAAATCAAAAAATGTACAAATTATATTTGGATTAAGGCAAAATTTCAAATTTTGGAAGAAGGAATCAAGTAAGTTTAATAAAAAAAAGAGATATAAATAAATATATATTAAATTCAATTAACATTGAGGAGCTAAGTTTTTAAAAACTACTTATGCAGTTTTTAAAAAACTTAACAGTTTGGCATAATTTGAGTTGTGTCACGCTTTTAAGACATGAAAAATACAATTTGAATTTCGTCAATCGGCCCAGTAAAACAGGAGATATAGACCCCCCCATACTGGCTGAGTACCCAGTGTACATAAATACTGGCTGATTTCTGGTATGAGCTTGGATATCAAATTCTGAATATATGGCTACAGCCCAGAAACCAAACAGCTTTCATCATTGTATTAGTGCTAATTAATAGTAAGTTTACTGTTATTCAACTCCAAAAACTGACGCTAGTAACCAGGGCTGCAGATGATGTGTTGTGTAACAGCTATCCAAATGTCTGGCTGTATAGTATGACTTCACCTAGACTGATGTGTATTGTCAGAAATTATTAAGCATTTATTGATTAAAAGAATAATTAAGCTAAGTAATTGAATGCTAAGTAAGCAAAAATGCCTGTCCGATATTACCTGATCATGTGTACCTTGATTTAGTTGGTTTCCTGCTAAGCATTTAGAATTTGTGTTTAGGATAATCTAAAAATATAAAAGTGGTTAGAATTATCTTTTCATAGTTTTACCTCTGTTCAAATTTCATGTGTATCTCCCACCCCATCAACTACATTTTATATAAATGGTGTGCCCGTCCAGCCTGTTTTACAAATAAATTGATCAAGATCAACCATACTAATTATATTAGTGTTTATGGTAAGGTCACATAATTAAACAGTTTTAAATAGCTGCATGATACTTTTAAGGCTAAAATTACTCAGGAGGACTAATTTCTCATTAATATTTTCTTTAGGGATATAACCGAAAGCAAGTGTCTGTGAAAAAACTAGTTTACATCTTTAAAAAATTTAGAAATCTTATTGTACATTAGATTCTAAATCTAATTAATTAAATAGTGTTTACCCTTAAAAGATGTGCAGTGGGGGGAAAAAAATAGCCTCTAAAATATCTCTGAAAGGAATTCTAGTTTCGTGAATTAAGTATTGTGTGTGTATGTAATAGCTCAGGAGAATTTATCTCTGGATCTGTTACCAGTCTAAAAACATAGTAGACACACTGTATATTTTTAAGTTTTAATTGTTTTGTAATTTATGCTCAACTAAATTATAATTTTATTATTTTTCAGGGTGCAATTCCTATTCCAATGAAGAATATGCCACTGGGCACACACGAGAAATTTGTGAAGCCAAATGCACCACCCCCAATCCACCCAAGCACCCACTTAGCCCACAGTCCACTGAGCTTTCTACCGGGAGAAAAGAGCTAAAAAAAGCGAAGTATGCTGAAATTGAGGCAGATGAGCCAAAAAGCAAAGAACGTAAAAACGAATGATGTGCCTCTAGAGTTTCAAATACCTGATGGTATTCTGGAAAAATGTAATTTCCTATGCTGGTCAAACTTTGAGATAATTCACTATTTCCCGTGCTTTCATTCATTTTGCCATAATGGAAGAGGGGTAATTTAACAGGGTTGTGCCTTTTCCTGCAATTGTATGGTGATTTACCAGTCTCAAATTATGGAAAATTGTGTTTGTTTGACATGTAGCTTGTATGTTCATGAAGTTTCTTTGCTTGCTGATTTGTGATTTCTTCTTTCTGTTCAGTAATGATCTGTAACTTGTGAACTTAGTTTATTATCATGCTATAAATGTATAAAACATTATAGTTTATAAAAAGAGAAAATAATACAATGTACTTATTTGCCATTGACATATTCAACATATAAAATCGAACTATTTTTGCTGTGTCGTAAAATATGTATAGAAGTTACTTGACGCAATCAAAATATTTCCATTGTTTTTCTATATTTTTAAAAACCAAAAGAAATGTAATAGTTTTAAATTTTAGCTTTCTAGACAGTGTCTGTTTTCCTCTATTTATGAATATTTTACTCATAAGCTATGTTTATTAATTCAGTTAGTAAGTATTTTCTTTGCAGTTTCAGATTAGTTCGTTTACTCTGAACTTTAAAATTTATGTGGAAAGAGGGTTTTTTTTTTTTTTTTTTTTTTTTTTTTTTTTTTTTTTTTTTTTTTTTTTTTTTTAATGTTCTTCCTTTTTAAAGCCCTGATAGATGTTATAAGGACATAGGTTTTGTTAACTTTAGATTTCGGGAAACTTTGTAAGAAAGAAAATATTTTAAGAAATTAATCACTTGAATCATTTTATGGCCTTTAATTTGGGCAAGCTGTTAACGGTTTTCATAAATGTGAAATGTGATATGCTGTAACATGCCTTTTTCCTCTGATCAATGCTTGTGTGATTTTTTTTTTTTTAAACAAATTAACATATATGTTATGTTAGCTATAAATAGATTTGTTGAGTTGTATTATTTATGCCTAATGCCATTGCTCTGCTTGGAGCTACTGTTGATTTTTATTGGAATCTCTACCTTTATTATCAGAAACCATAAATAGCTTTTAATCTTAAACTAATAAGCTGTATTTGATTTAGTAATGTTTTATTAATAACGGAAAAAATATATATTGCCTGGTCGATATGAATAAATCAAAATTGCACACAAGGTGTTTATCTTGTATATTGCAATAATTGTATTATATTTTTGTATAAAAAAATTCCATAATTTTAAATGTTTTTATTGCTAAAATTGCTTTCTTAGGACATCAAAAGAAAACAAGTCAAAAGAAGATTTAAAAGTTATAAAAACTGTTATATATAATTGAGAATCAGATTGCTTAAGAAAATGTTGTCACTATAATGAATCGTGTAAACCATAAATTATTTCTATTATTGTCAGTAATTTTTTTATTATTTTACATAAGCTTTCATGTGTGATATGATTTATTTGGTTCAAGTTCCAGTGCAAGTGCCAAAATCTTATAAAATATGTTTAAAAGCTCCATATTTTGCATTAAGAATGCTTTAAAAGATCTAAATATTGGCATTTTTGTACTAGAGGCATGTCTTGTGCATTTAATCTTAAGAAAATGGAAAAAGTAAAAAAATATCAGTTTCTCTGATTTTTCTTTGAAGCATTTGATTTGTATTTTCTAAGTTAGAATATATAATCAGCAATATAATGTATTCTATTTTAGTAATATTAAACTGAGGAAATGACTACCTCAAATTATTAGTCAATGGTGATAATTATAAAATTTTAAAAAACTGGCATTCAAAGAAATTGTGTTTTACTTCTGTTTTTGGTGTTTAAATTAATGGAGTCTTTCGAGTACAGTCAAACCTTAATTTGAATTATTATGAAACTTGTGTACTATTATCATTAAATCAAAGAATTATCCTAATCCAGTTACGTGATATAAAGTGCTAAAGATACTATAGCCAAAAAAAAAAAACGTAATTTTCAGGACTGTAGTTTCAAAGGCTAAATATACTAGAACCATATTCTGTACTGTTGGAATGCATGTCCTGCAGCTGAAAAAGAGGTTCTGCTTAAACTTTGAAACTATAATCCTGCAGATTTACACGTTATGCTGATTTTTGTTGTTATAATACCTTTAACATTTGTTCTGTTTGTTATAAATGATATAAAGTGCTGAAATATTTTCAGTAATCTCTTACTTTTTTTTAAGAAAAGGTAATTTTTTATCAGTTTTTATTGTTTTAGATAAACCAAATGAAAACAATCATTTAGTTATGGTTGAACTAACTGTACTTTATTTTTACTTGTAAGAATGTTTTGTGCCCTCTTTTTGAACCTCAAAGCATTCCTGTTTTGTTTCATTAATGAGCGATTGTGTAATTGGCTTGTTTGGAAATTAAATGTATCTTGTTTTACATTGCAAAAAAGAAATCTAGTGTTGGACTTGAAAAAGAAATTTATGCCTGTGTATATGTACATAATGTGAACTATAAATATTGTTGCTTTGTTTATAGTACTATTAATTAGTACAACTTATATATGCTTCTGTTATTGTGAAATGAATGTTTATTAAAGAAGTATAAACTGATTAAAGTTTTTTAATTTAGAATAACCATTACATTTAAATAAAAATGTGGATTCCTAATATTTTGATTATTAAATAATCGTATGTCATTTATACATTTACAGAAAAAGCATAAACTAGAATTTTCTTTAAAAAAAAACAATGTCAAAAAGGAGTAAAATATGAATCTTAAATTAAAATTGTCTGGATATACAAATTAGAATTCTGATGATTATTAAAATATTGTAAAGCATGCAAGAGCTATCTGCCTAATGGGAAGAATGCCTTTGTAGAGAACTTTCCATGGAAAACTAGCTTGTATTCATGTTAAACATGAGGAAACCATCCTTTTGCCTGAGGCTGAACCCAAATCGATCTCCCAGCATTCATGGGACACTGGAATGCTCGTGAATTTTCATAAGTGAAGTTGTAATGAAATTAGTTGTATTCAAAATTACACCAACAAAACGAGTAAATGTCCATAATAGTTTTATTATATGTATTTTATACCCTTTTAATACATTACATATGAATAAGACATATAATGGAATATTTCTTTTGTTTTTCTTATCAAAAATTGGTGTTAGTTCTTTCGAGATGTCGTACCTTTGCTTGAAATGTTTCTTTGGAAGAGGAGATTTGAAAGGAATGCTCCCACAGGACCACGGTTTTGCATTGCTAAGCCTAACTTTAGAAAAAAGATCATTAAAAAAGTCGTAAGGTCATAATTTTTGGTACGATATTACTTAAGCTATCATATACGTTAAAATTAGCATATAATAGTCTTTTTCTCTACATGAAAATATATTTTTAAAAAAAAACTGCTGACTTTAAGAATAATTTGTGGATAAGCTATCGAAATTATTCCAAAGTTTTCATTGACAAAACACATTAATAAACTTAAAAATTAATTTTAAAAGTACAAGAAGTAACAAAATTTTTCATAGAAAGTCGAACATAGGCACTCGGAGAGCTCAATCTATGACAAATGCCTCTATCAATATCACTTTAGAAAATGAATCATTACTCATATATCCCAATTAAGTAGCTCATTCACTATGGGAGTATATCCATCCTCTAAATAACGCTTTCTCACCATATTAAACTGAAGTGAAGGCTTTTTAAAATAAAAAGAAGTACGCAAAATAAAAGCAATACAAAGCGTAGTAACCATAAAATACCCTACATAGTAGCAAAAGTGAAGAATGTGAAATATAGCCGAAAGCAACGAAAAAAGGATTTGTTTGGATCAGAAACGCAAATGTTTATATCGTGCCGAGTTAAGAAACCAACCCTAATTTGTTTATATTATGCATTCCTTTATCTCATTTCGAGTAGAAATATGTTTCTCAAATCCTATGGATATCCATCTTGTGGCAAAAGTTATAGTTTTTAAAACATTCCAAGACACTGGCGCAAAATATGATGGGGGGGGCAAGAAAACATTCTGGCACGCCAGCCTGCCGTCCGGGAAATGAGTACATTTCTTGTTGGTATGTACATGTGACAATCTGCCCGAAAGGGTTAACCAAGCAGAATTTGTTTTTAGTCGTTAAGTTGCTTACTGTAACCTATATTCTAACTCTAAATAAATAAGAATTCAAAAGAAGAGAAAATTGGAAATAATCATACTGAACATTAATCTTAATTATAGTATGTAGTTCATGTGAAATTTCGAAAATAGCTCATTTCTACTTTACAAGTTTTAATGTGTTACAGATGATATCACAGTTAAGATCTTGAAAGTGATGTATTTTGAGCAGGGTTTGCAAGTTTCCATGGTAGAGAAATTTTAGCTGGCAGAAAGGGATTTTTTATATACATTATGTTATATTAATATTATTATACTCAGCAATTTAAATACTTTCGTTATATGAATATTTAGCCTTATTTGTATGGATTTTATTCACTTTGATAAAAGGTATGTTTTTATTCCATGAACAAAGTAAAATATTGTGATCTCAAAAAATTTCGCTTATCAGTTTAGTACAGATGTATCCATTTTGACTATTTTTGCGTGAAGCCTGTGCATACGGCCAGACTAAAAGAACTCATTGTTTGAAAATGGATTTTCTCGTGACGCCGGTACATGCATACGAATCTGTCTTGCATAAATCAAAAACGAATAGCCGCAGAACCTTGAAATTTTGCTTATGAGACTGCTTAACATAATAGCTTTACACCTCCCTTATATCGTAATCAGCAATTCCAAAAGTATATTCCGTTGCGAATTTTCAACATACGCAACTAAGTTTAGTGAAATTGTACGGGGTTTTTTTTTTTTTTTTTCAGAGGGGAGTGTTCTTCGGGGAACCGCATTCAGATATCGCCGAAAGTTGACGATTTGGGGGGAAATTTGAAGCATAAAAATAATTGCCAAAACATTTAAGATTCAGCTAAGTTAAGGAAAATTCTAAGGGAAAAAATAACCTAATAGATATTTGTAATCTCAACGTCGACTGATGTTATTGTTCTGGATGCAAACAGTGGTCTTGATATCAAGGTCATTGGAGTTAACTGTGGTGATCTGCAAAGAAAAAATTCACATGATTATAAGGATCTTATGCAGCTAAAAGAACTGGTTACTAAGGACATAATTGGTGAAAATAGCCTTCTTCCAACGAACTAAACAAGACTTCAAAGGCTCCCTAAAACATGTGCAGGGTTTCTTGAATTACAGTATCAAGAGGCAGAGTGAGTCATGAAAATATATACAAGCTAAGATTGTTTCTTTAGATTCCCTTAGTGGTGAATGTGTTAACACTTAAAAAATTTATTTCATGTGGGCATATTCATATTACTTCTGAAAATGTTATTCCTAGTGCCAGTCAGCCGAATTGTACAAGTTAAGAAATCTGTGATTGATTCTAAGAATATTGACGAGTTTCGGCAACCGGATAAAACCGCGTGACCCGCTAAAATTTTGAAGTGTAATGTTGATTTAAAATTACAAAATAGATATGAACAACTTGCTAATGAAAATGTTGATTCTGTAAGTGATATTGAAATGTTAGAATCTACTGAACAAGGTAACTCAACAACCGAAAATAAGGCCAATAATGGTCCAACCGGGAATCAAATTTTATGATTTTGTTAAAATTTAAAACACTGAAACTAAATCTGATTTTACAAGCAGTCAGTAGTGGCGAATTTCTTAAGGTGTTTCCTAAAACTGACTCAGATCATAGAACAATATCGCGTTATTTGAATTAACGCGTAGTAGATCATTATGTCATTACATCTAAAATAGAACGACTTATTAAAGTCGTATGTAAGGGACTTCCTGATGATACTCGAGTAGATGAATTCAAAGCATTGGAATTTAAGGTAAAGAAAGTGGCAAATATGGTCAGGCTAAAAACAAAGGCCCCGATGCCCATGCATCAAATTCCAATTATGTATGAACCGGATGTATAAAGGATATGTGACATGGTGAATATTATGTATTTTGATGTAGAAATTGTGCCCTACAAAGTTAAAGGGGGATGTAGTACAGTGTCACAATTGCATACCTGCCAACTTTTACGAATTTTTCCTAATTTTTACGAAAATGCGTTTGTCTTTACGATCGTAATCCATTTTTTACGATGTTTTTCCTCTTCCAAGTGTTTTTAGTGATTTTTGTCGGAATTTTAGAATTTTTTCCAATTCAGCGATTTTTGCATCAATTGCATCGTGTTTTACCGCCAACTACTGACTACTTTGAATCCAGTAACCTGCAGTTTCTCCCAACTCGCCGCTTAACCAGCCAATCCAATGCGCTGAACTTGTTTCTCCCACTCTTTTCTTTGTGGGCACTAGATTATTTTTTTTAAAAAAACAGTCTTCTATTAGCCGGGAGGAAAGGATTTTCTATCTTCTTTCTTCGGATTTGAACAAAGCATATTTTAGTTTTGTGTTAAGTACCATTAAGAGTTTTTGAAAGTGTTAAATACCCTTCTACAATCAACTTCGCCAAAATCTCCCCTGCTGTATCCAAATTCTTAATGATCTTTTGAAAGAACTTTTAACTAAGTTTGTAAAGCCGTCCGTTGTGAAAAACATGTGTTGTTGATTCGTGTTGCCTATAATAGTTTGGCAAATCAAACGGATGACAATGATCTTATAATTGGAAATCAAACCAGGGAACTTGTAAATTCTTTGAAAGATCATGAGAAAAAAGAATTTTTTCAATGTATTAGAAAGTACTTTTCCTCAGCCTGTGATTACATTGTAAGGAAGTTTCCTTTGCAAAATGAAGTTCTTTTAAATGCTGAAGTGGCAAATTTGAAACAAATTGAAAATTCATCTTTTGAAAAGATTCATATTTTTATTGATAAATTTCCATTTTTGTTAACAATTAAAGAAAATGAATGCCATAATGATGCTTTAGATGAATTACAGAACCAATTTTCTGCTGCACAATTTGAAGACTTTGCCAGTTCTGGAGAAGATAGACTTGATGTCCTCGTTGGTACCTTAAAAAGAGCTGATGGAACACCAAAATATGATAGACTAGCAAGAGTTTTATGTGCTACTCTCGTAATTCCACACAGTAATGCTGAGTGCGAGAGAGTCTTCAGTGTTGTGAAGAAAAAAAAACTATGTTTTGTTCTTCAATTTCACCAAAAACTCTAGAAAACATTTTAATTGCTAAATGTTATGTGGAAACTAATTGTTATGACAGGAAATTTTCCAAAGAATTTTTGGATAAAGCCAAAAAATGCACTCTAAATTCATTGCAATATTTTTTTTTTTTTTTTTTTTTTTTATTTTTTTTTATTGAGTGTGTATAACATTAAGTTCTTGTTTTATGTTTCCTAACAAAATTTTTAGTTACTACTTAATTGAGATTTACTAATGTAAGTACATTTTTCTTTTTTCTATTTGTATAAATTGTAATTTTTTTATATCAATTATGCAAAACTGAGATTCCAGATATTAATTCTGCGTGTTCTTCTGAATTTTTATCTTTAGAGGTTGGCAGGTATGCAATTGTCAGCACTTTAACCACTCTTCTGTCCACTTGAAGTCGGTAAGCTCAAA